TGCTCACCACCCCCACGGCCACGAAGTCTTGAACTGCACAGAGTTTGTAGTGGTGTAATTCTGCCTCCTGTTTACATCAAAACGAGAGCAAAGCTTGTCCAGTTTACCTTAACACCGTGTCTGCCTTGCTTGAATTCACGTGTCTTTGAGCCAGGAGTAAACGTGGTGACCAATCTCCTTGTGCCACTCTGGCAGAAATGCGTGTCCTCAAGGAACAGGGCTGGCATTAGAACTCTCTGCCTGCCTTAGGAGGACTCCATTGCAGCATTTTTGCAAGGAATTCAATGGTTTCAGCTCCTGCTGGTGTGAATGCCTCACATCTGCTGATGAAAGGCAAAAGCCTTCCTGTCTCTGAGCGCGGTGTGGTTTCTGTGGTTCTCTGTGACGTTCCTCACAGGCCTCCAGCTCTTGGCTGAATTGCTCAAGAGACACAACCAGGGGCACAGTTCACTTTTCCACCCACTGCAGTTTCCCACCAGCCTTGGAACTCCTTTAAATCCATTTTCTTTTAAGACTCTTCTGTGATTGTTTTGTTGCAGTGTGCTGCTGGGAGCTGGCTCTGCCCTGTCACGGCAGGCCTGGCAGGAGGAACCTGCACCCTTCAGCTCTGTCAGCTTTGCCAAATGTTGCTGAGACAGCTGAAATTTGTCCCTCCCAAAGCAGGCGTGTGGTGGGCTGGCTGTGCATCCATGACTCTGCTTCACAGCTTGCATGATCGTATTTCTTACAAACTAACTAAGGGTGTTTTAGGCTTTTTTTGTAGCTCCACTATTTAGCATTTTTGCTTTCACTCTTTTTGCCTCTTTCCTTCCCAATTATTTTTTCAGTCGTGTTTGCACCTTCAAAGTACTGAATATTTTCAAGGCAGAGTTCTCATTTCCTCCTCATTATTTATAGCTACACCAACAGTTGCAGAGACAGGGAATCCCCTTGGTTTCAAGACCCAAGTTTTCTACTTCCCCTCGCTCCTCCTGCTGTGGTATTCACTGTTGCACAAAGTCTGTTCCCTAAAGGAAAAAACCAGAGTTTCGTTGCTGGTAATACCTGAGTCTCCTGTGGCAGCAGCTGTTGCAGGTGGTTGCAGTGGTAGAAGCTGCTTGGGAGCAGGAGTCTGGTTATGAAAGTAAAAAAAACAGGAATATGAATCCAGCTGGAGAATTCTAAGCTGTCCACAGCTTAAACCCGGATGACTTTGTGTCAGTGATCCTGCTCGGGTTTGCTGTGGGGCAGAAAGGGTTTGCAAATTCCTGCCCCTTGTACCCTCAGCATTGAGAATGATCACAAAACCAAAACCCTGCAGCAAGATCTGTGCTGGCTGCGTGTTGCTGACGTGCATCAGGAGGCTCCTCGTCATGGGCAGAGAACTTTGCAGACGCCTCAGTTTTCCTTGAGCTTCTTCTGCAACCACGAAAAGCAGAATGAAATTAATTAATTCATTACTGAGTAATTATTTAATTACTGAGTCTTGAAAGGATGGTGAACCAAACCTCTTGATATGGCTTTAAACACCTCACTGTGGCTGAATGAGTTTTGCCTTGCGGTGGGTGCCAAGGGAAAGGATTCATGCTGCATTTTACAGCTGACTGTTCATACACCAGACCATGGGAAGTCAATCCACCCACCTCGGTGGCAGAGCTGGTGCTGTTCTGCCATCTGATGGCAGAGCTGGGACAGAACAGGGCTCCTGCCTTTCCCAGGGCAGTATCCCACCAGCAGGATAAGCGTCAGTGCAGGGGATCCTGCTACTGGCTGTGTTTTAATTGGAAATAAGGAAATATCCCATCTTTGTTCATTTATCCTGTTTGGCCTGGCTTTCCCCATCTCTCTGGAATGGTTTGCTCCTTGTGCTGCCTTTGCTTGTGCTTCCCACACTCTCACATTGCTCTGGGAGCATCAGGAGCAGAAGACAAAGTTCTGATCTTGACTTTTTTGCTGTTCCCCCTCTGTCTCTCTTGTTCTGTGTCTCCATTCCCGTGTTTAAAAGTGGGAACTGTGTATATGGAAGTCTTTGACAAACCCAAACCCACTCCCAAGATTTCAGCCTGGAAATACCCCAAACTTGAAGAGTTTTAAATCCACATTTCTACAGTTTTGGCACAACATAAATAACTTTATGAGCATGGTACTTCTTCACTGTTCTCTCCTCCTTTCTGGCTTGATCTCCCAGTAGCTGCAGGCTGTGAGCCTGCTCTTGATTGCATTTGATTGTGGTCCTGAAAATGAGTGATTTAGCCATGGAGACCAAGCCTGGAGGAGAGCAAACAGACCCTGGACCAGACCCCTGTGGCAGGGGAAGCTGGTCTCACTTGGCTGATCAAGAGCAAACACATGGATTACTCCTGGACTTCCTTCTCCTAGACTTTAAAGCTAGTTTGACAGGTCATTCATCTCTTCCTACTCTTTGGACTCAGCTCCATCTCCCAGCAAGGCAGAGGGACCCACTGTGAACCCTTGGAGTCACCTGCAGTTCTCTCCTTTCACCTCCTGCTCTTGATGTGAAGTGTGTGAAGTACTGACAGTATAGCCTGGATGAGGTAAAACATTTTTATTTTATTTTTATTTTAAGTATGTTTCTGAAAAAAATCTGCAAGGATTCATCTCACTGCTGCCTGCCTGAGATGGCATATTTCTGTATTTTGAGCATATTCTGTAAGCACTGTAACACTGTAACTCTTTACCCATATTAAAAGCATTGAAATGTAACCACTGTGCTCTCCAAAAATCAGGTGATGTACGAGATTTATTATTTTTTATTTCTATTTACCTTGAGCAGCTGCCACTGTGCTATTAAGACTTTGCATTTCACAAAACATTCCCCAGGGGAATAAACTGGGAGTTAAGTGACCACCTTGCTTCTGATTGTTGCTGATTTGTTTAATCCATATGCCAAATATTAGCTGAAAAGCATTAGTATTGATCTGTCCTTACAAAGCATTTTGAGATATTCAGTTCAAATACTTAAGCTAAGCACGATTTTGTTCCCTCTCTCTTCCTTCATTTGTCCTTTCCTAATTAATCAGTTTAAGGCTGGACTCCATCCAAGGGATGCTTTGGCTGATATCAATAATATCAATACTGCAATACCTGCACTATTTCTGCATTTGTTGACATTGTTCACCTTGGTTTTGGTCTTGTTTGCATTGGAAGGTAAAATTTCTGTCTGGGAGGAGACTTAGCTACAAAAGGAAAGTTGCTTATCACAGATGTAAGTAACTGAGCCTGTATCTATAATTCTCATATACTGGAAAATGGAAAAATGGAGCTGCAGTGAAAAGTGGGAGAAGGCCAGCAGCTGCTGTTTCTTTTAATTCCTGGTTACCAGTTACTTTTGGCTGGTACACCAACTGTTGAGCATTGCAGGATGAAAAAAATGCATTTTCTGTTAAAATTGCCCTCCTTTTTATTGCACAGGAGACTCAAATAGATCTTGATGTGTGGTTGTGTTTGAGGGTCCCAGGACGAGGGAAGAGATGAGAATCTTGACTCCATGTTTCAGAAGGCTGATTTATTATATTATGATATTATATTATACTAAAATGCTACATTAAAACTATACTAAAAAGAATAGAAAGGATCCATCAGAGAGCTGGAAAAGAACGGAATGGAATGAATAACAAAAACCTGCGACTCTCAGAGAGTCTGATACAGCTGGGCCATGGTTGGTCATTAAGTAGAAACAACTCACATGGACCAATCCAAGATGCACCTGTTGGTGAACAATGTCCAGACCACATTCCACAGCCATCAGATAGTTATTGTTTGCGTTTCTTTTCTGAGGCTTCTCAGCCAGAAGAGGAGAAAAATCCTAGCAAAGGACTTTTCATAAAAACATCATGGTGACATCGATGCATATCCAAAATCCTGAATTAAAGAACAAATGTTCTGGGAACCAGGAGCTGGAAAAGAATGGAATGGAATAAATAACAAAAACCTGCGACTCTCAGAGAGTCTGATACAGCTGGGCCATGGTTGGTCATTAAGTAGAAACAACTCACATGGACCAATCCAAGATGCACCTGTTGGTGAACAATGTCCAGACCACATTCCACAGCCATCAGATAGTTATTGTTTGCATTTCTTTTCTGAGGCTTCTCAGCCAGAAGAGGAGAAAAATCCTAGCAAAGGACTTTTCATAAAAACATCATGGTGACATCCATGCATATCCAAAATCCTGAATTAAAGAGCAAATATACTGGCTTTTAACTTTTGTCCCTGACCTTTTTATAAACACTTATTTTCTAAATTTTCAGGCAAACAATCTGCTCCCCAAAAAAGGCTTGGGTGGCTGAAAAATCGTGGATATTATTTTTTCTGGAAAATGAATTGATAGCACAGTACCATTAATTTACCATGGCATGCTTTGTTAGCAACTTACCCAGGCAGATCTACACATGGAAATAGAACTCTCATGGAGAGAATATCAGTTGCTATTTGCCCCAACACTTTCTACAGATTTTGAGGAGGCAGCACTTTATATTTCCTGCACATGTTATACTTAGCCACTATTACAGACCTGAGAAACACACCACAAGTTTATAATGTTGTTGGCAGCATGCTCAGTGTTTTGTTTGGCCAAGGGCTTCCCAGTAACAATCCCCCTAATCCACCATCAGTGACCACCCTAACAATCATTTGTGTGTTTATTCAATTCCAGTTTTTCATTCTTTCCCCTGCCAGTCACAGAGTAACAAACCCCAGCTTTTATTCTCAATATGCAGTTTTATAGGAATTGAACATAAACCCTGTCCTAGAAACTTTGAGTTGCAGTTGGGATATTTTCTGTTATAGATGCAGAATTTATTATGTGTGCAGTTTTCCTACTAGTCCTGAGGAAATCTCCATTTCTGCCACTTCTGAAACCTGTATCACCAACATGATCATCTGGTCTTCTAGTTTAGGATTATAGCTAGGTTTGGGTAAAAATTGCAAAAAAAGACCTACAAACTAAGTGCTGGTCCTCCATCCTTTGAATGCACCCTCCTGTCTGCCAGAGCAACAACATGGTCCATGATTATGGATGCTGTAATAGTCACAATGGAGAGTTTAACAGAGTTTGAGTTAAATCTGTTAAAGATGTGTTTTCAATGAGTTGTCATTGAAGTTCTCATCTTTAGGGAAAAAAACCCCAGCAAATTGTGACCACTGTTGGTTTTGGGAAGTGCACTACAAAGAATTCCTCTTTTACAATTTGCTGCTGGGCAGAACTGCTTGCTTTGCTTCTGCCTTTCTTAAAATACAACCAAATGAATAATGATCACTGCAGATAATTATTTCTATAAATATTCTCCTGTAGAAACACATAAAGGGTATCAGCTTCACTCAGCCATTGTAGATGATAATAATAGTGAGTTAAGAAGTAAATTTGGCATAGTGAGAGATGTTCTGGAGAATCCAGCCACTGTTGTTGGTCATCAAGGTCTATTGTGTATTTTGACTCTTTGTCAGAAGTATTTTCAATACAAAGGCTGGTTGTAAACAGATTTCTGAAATTCATAATGAAACAGTGATTTAGTTCCAAAATAATTCCAAAACTTGCTTGAAAGAGAATATCTGCACATGTTTTTCTTAGTTTAGCTTTAGCCTGGGCAGTTTGTATTAGGGGTTGTAAGATCTGTTTCCTGACATGGCAGAAAGACTGAATTTTGTACCAGGCCATGCCTTCCAATTCTATTTTACCAAAACAGAAATAAAACTTGAATTCAAATTGAATCCTTCCTTCTTTTCCTCCCTCAGGTTGTAAGTTGGGCAGAAAGTGCAAGAGACCAGCCTGTGGAGTTATTTTGCCTTTTTCACTCAGATTGTTGGGGGAAACCAGGTGAAGCAAGGCTCACACCCATGGCAGGTTTGCACAAGCAAATGTGGTTTTATCTGCAGAACAAAGCCCTGGAGAAGAGAAGGCTTTGGGGTGACCTCATTGCAGCCTTCCAGTACCTGAAGGGAGCCTACAAGAGAGATGGAGAGGAACTTTTAACCAGAGCAGTGAGTACTGGGCCAGAGCAAATGGCTTCAAGCTGAAAAAGAGGAGGTTTACATTGCACATTAAGAAAAAATTCTTTACTGTGAGGGCAATGAGGCACAGGCTGCTCAGAGAAGCTGTGGCTGCCCTGTCCCTGGAAGTGTCCAAGGCCAGAGCCCTTGCATGGGGCTCTGAGAAAGCTGGAAGGGCAGGGAGGATTGGATCTTTAAGGTGCCCTCCAACCCAAGCCATTGTATGATACTGTATTGTTGAGCTCCAGCCTGCTTTTAGGAAAAGCAATGAAACAGGTGGAGATACCGAATGCAGGGAGCCCCCGATGCAGGGAATGGTTGGCATCTGACTCCATTGATCCAGAAGACTGAACTATTGCTTTATTAAACTATATCACATTATACTATACTATATTAAAGAGATACTATACCATGCTAAAAGGATAATAAAGAAAAACCCCTGACTGTCTTGAGACAGCCAGGACACAGCTTCGAGTGATTGGTTCATTAATACTAACAACCATCACCAGAATCCAATTACCAAATCCCTTCAGGTGAACAATCTTCCTAACACATTCCACGTGTGCAAAAACAACAGGCACAGAGAATAGAGATAAGAATTGTTTTCTCTTCCTCTGAGGTTCCTCGCTGGGATTCCTAGGAAATCTCCTTGGGAAGTTATGCCTGCCTGCTCTCTATGAAGAGAGCTGCAGCTACATGGAGAGGACTCAGAACCTGTCCTGCTTCCTGATAAACCTTTGTTTATGATTTTTATTTTGTTTACCACTCTTTCTGGAAGAGTAGCTGTAGATGAGTCTGTTTTAAATGGGTGACACTGCTCACAAATAGGGCACAGGACACCACCCCAAGGCCCTGGCTACTGCCCAGCATCCTTGATTTGCATCCTTGATCCCAAAATTTTCAACCAACCACTCGCCTTCACAGCCTGAGGACCTCAGGGACTTGGTGTTTATTACATGTGTGTTGCTTTTCTCCAGGCCCCAAGGCACAGCTGAGGGGAGAGCAGCAAGGTTTAGGATCTCTTAGGCTCAGGGATTCTGAGAAAGCCATGGAAGTGTGTGTGCTGGGAATGCAGCTTTGGCTCTGTGACTCCCCAGAGAGCACCTGGGCGTGCTCTCCGTGTTCCTCCCCAAAGGCAACCAGAGCAGACACAGATTTTCTTCACTGGGAATGTCTTCTTTAAATGCTGCAGGTTTCTCTGAAGAGAAGGCAGGAGCATTTCTGTGGAGGCACCATTGTTTGTGCTCAGTGGGCGGTCACAGCAGCTCACTGCTCCCTGGACATGTATGGATGGGATATTTCAGGAGCAGGAAAACATGGATTGGAAAATGTGTGTGCCGTAGCATCTCTTTGTGGTGCTTACTTACAGGCGCTACCCTTTTATTTGTAATCAGTACTTTTCATGTTTTAACAGAAAGGGAGAAAAAAACCTCTGAACACCTCAAAATAATTAATAAATAAACTTACAGATATTGACAAAGACTGATTTTGGAAGTCTATGTAAAAAATTCATTTGAAGCAGAATAAAGTTTATACTCATTGCTTTTGTGTTCCCTTGCTGCACACCTGGTCTGGTACCAGGAGCCCTGAGGCAGGACTCACTGTGGTTTTTTTTGATCAACTCAGAATCATAGAGAAATGACCTTATTTATTCTGCAATTTTCTGCGTCCAAATCGTCCCTCTTCTTTCAAAAAGCAATGTGGCTGAACACTTCAACACAGTAAGAGGACCTGATGCCTTAGTCAACCAACCAAACCATGGTCAGGTCTGCAGCAAAAGGATTTTTCTTCTCAGTCCTTTTCATCTCCCAATTTCTCCTACAGGGCTTACTCAGCTCCTGCAGTCTGTACCTCTTAAATGTTCTACAATCTGAAGATGAAAGGTATTGGCTATCACAAGTAACAACTTCTCTGTTTAAAAACAACTTCACTTTTCCCTTTTACATTGAAGATTGCATAGCTGCACTTTAATTTTTCTGTTCCGCAGGAACCTGCTGCAATACCTGCATGTCAGTGCAGGAGAGCACTGCTTGGGGCTCAGGGAGAGCAGTGAGCAGACACTGCCTGGCACATCTGTCAGTCAGCACCCCAAGCTTGACCCCAGGACTCAGTGAACTGTGACATTGCCTTTCTGAAGCTGGATGGCACCTTCAACTTCAGTAAGGCCAGAGTTGTGATTTTTTTTTCTCCATGAAGAAAAAGTTATTGTTCTTTGCATGCAGAAGATAAATTGTCAATATGAGATTAATTTTACAGATTCCACAAAAATAACAAGATTTTTCTTTCTGTTAAAAACCCTCCAACACTTATAAAGGAAGCTTTTTGTAATTTTTCTTTCAAATATTTACTAATAAGATTCATGTCACTGTGTGGCAGGTTCATCAGTTTTGCCAGCATGTCTTCCTCATGCAGGTGAAAAGTTTGAAGCAGGATATATCTGCCCTGCTTGTGGCTGGGGCCATTTAAAGGAAAGTAAGCCACTCACATTATCATTTTTTTTCTGAAACTAAGTGCTTGATTGCCCAGGTCAGAGCCTGAGCAAAAGTAACCTTCAACTGGCCCTAAGAATTGTAATCTCAAAATGGGATTTTGCTTCCACACCTACCTGTGAATTACTTCAAAACGGGTAATCACAAAAACTAGACCTGTATTTGAATTTTGAAACATTTTGGAATTTTTTCAAGTAAAACCACTTATATACAAAAAACTGGATGTTTGCCAAAACGTGCTTGTAACAATAATATGGCTTGGAGCAGGTTTCCAACCGATTTTTGTGGTGTATTAACAGCGACATTAAGTTTACCTTCCAGCTTTTCTTCTGAGCATTGATTGGTGTTTCAGATGGACTGCTCCCTCACTCCGGTCTTGCATGAAGTCAATCTCCCAATCCTAAACAGCAGAGAGTGTTCAAGAGCACTGTCAACTTCAAAGAAACCCATCCAAGATGCAGGAAGAGATGCCTGCCAGCACACAGGGCCCTGTGTGCTTAGGAGTGTTTCTTAGGAGCTCTGTGTGCCAAAGTAAACAAATTCACTGTAAACTGGGAGGTTTGGATGTAGGAATTCTTTCAAAAGTCCCCTATGGGGCAATGCACTTAATGACATGATTCCATATTAATTATTGTATGGGTTGTAGAACAGGTTCCTGAGAGCAATTTTGCAATGTACCCCAGTGCAATAATGCTTAGGGCTTTCCAACTTCAGAACACTTGATAAATTAATTAATGTGGAAAGATCCAGAGGATGAAAGTAGAAAGAATTGGATTACAGGAAGGAAAGGAAGTGTGATAAAGGTTAAGTGATTGTTCCTCACTCCTTTACATGCTCAAGCACATCAGAGATGAACACACAAGGGAATTAATCTGTCTCTCCCCTTCTGACAATCCTGACTAAACACCCAAAAATGTGTGTGTCTTTACAGCTCTTTTAAAGCTGACTGTCCCCTGTGTTGCAGGTTTTTAGTAAGGCACAAAAGAGACCCCAACACACTCTTTAAGGCTTGCTCAGGTGTACAAGCTCCTGGGATTTTGCTGGGCCTTTTTCCAGGGAGACTCTGGAGGCCGTTTTTGTGTCGAGGCAAGCACAGGGCCTGGAGCTTGCTGGTGTCATCTCCTGGGGATGGGATGTGCCTGCAGCTGGATAAGGAGCAAGAAGAAGAAACATTACAACAGAGGATCCCTGGGAACTCCCAGACCTCAGCATGGTGCTGTGCTGGGTTCAGGAGAACATGCGTGCTGGTAATTAAGTCCCCGCAGTAACGCGTCCCTTGCTTGTGACGAATCCCCTGCCTCAGAACATTTTATTTCATTTTATCTTTTCTCAGGCTACAGCACTTATATGATTTCCTGTCAAAGCACTGCTGCATTTCATAGTACTTTGAAGTGTGCTACTGACAGGCAGTTGTCAAAACCAAATTGAGAGCATTGTAAGTGTTTGCTTCTCTTCCACTTTACTTCCTACTTGGAACCTTTCTTTTAAATTTTTTTTTTTTTTTTTTTTTTAAGAATGATCCTTTTATGCAGCTAGCCCATTAGCAGGTTTATTGGAATATTTTTTTTTTTTTTTTTTAGTGGAAATTCACCAGTTGAAAGTATCAGAGATTCCATGTGCACTTCTTTGAAGTCACTTGTCATTTTTCTCAACTAAAACATGTTGGATCAGACATCTGACAACAACATGGGGACAAGTCATGCTCAGAAGTGCTTTTGTTCACTCTTCCCAAAAGGCCATGAATTCCCTCTGTACTGGGGAACAGTGTGTGACCATCAGGTGCCACTGCCAAAGTCATGGAGCTGGAGATATAAATGGCAGGGTGAACTTTACTGAGAGTTACAAGAAACTGAACTGACATTTTCTTCAGTCTAATTAATAAGTTCGTCTAATTTTGTTAAAGGGTTTTGGATACTGTGTTAAAACTTATACAGAGAACTGAAAAACTGAGGGAGGGTTATTTAAGAGGTTTAGTCAATGAGAAGAAAAAAAATTGGGAGGAGAAAAATAAAATTTCCTATTAGAAACCATCTTCAATTGGTGATTCAAAGAAGGAACTCCCATAATGTGTCAGAGAAAAATGAAAAGGGTTTAGCTTCTGAACAAGTGCTGCTCAGACCAAGTGACCTCTCAAAGCAGGGTTCATTCTGGTAGTGGCTACTCCAGAACGGTTTATTCCAATGTCAGCATTCCCTAAACTTGCAATTATGTTTTGATTCCAAGCCCTGTTTTTTTGTAGGCACTGTGTCCCCAAAAAGCACTGGGAGTTGTCTCAGTGTCAGCTGTACAAAATTGCCATTTCACATGGACAAAAGTAAATTGTGAATATGAAGCTGCAGTAATTTATTCTTCTTTTTTCTCTCCATTCCCTATCCCTCCTTCATTAGATCTGAAAGTGAAAAGCTCCACAGGTGAGTATATTACTTTTGCCCAGTATCTTTTATTTGTGTTAAAGCATAAAAAGCCTTCCCCAAAACAGTTGGAATTTATAAAGGAAGAAACCTTTTTGAAAACATTTTTGCCAGTTTTTATTGGTCTTCCCAGGATGCTGCAGGTGCAATAATCTAATAAGTACTTGACTCCTTAAATTTGTTTGTGTTTACATAGTTGTTGGTAAATGCTGCTCTCACTGGGTAACCTTGCAAGCAGAAGGAAGGGCAAGAGGAGATGATTTTTGTGCTGTTGTGTTTCTGCTGACACTTGACCAAACAGGAAAGCTTCTGCTTCTTCTATTAAAGTAATTTTTAACAGCACATTGAACTGTTGCAAAAGCCTCCTGCTGTAACATAACCAAGGGCATTATTTCAGATGGGCTGCCATGAACACTTTTGTTTTGCTCTGGGGTATCCATTTTTCCTCACTGAAAATGATCTCTACTGAAATCTTCATGTAACCAAGAGTTTCTTTAAGGTAAAAAATAAGCACTGCCATTTACAAAAAAATGAGAGTCCATTGGCAGGGCTTCATTCTTGCTCCCAGATGATGGGGTTTAAAGCTGATTGGTCAGAATTCCAAATAAAAGAGAGAAAAAAAGAAGACACAGCATCAGTTTGCCAGCAGAAACAAAGTGCAGCTGAGCAACCCTGTCTCACAATATCCTCCAGATGTCTGAGATTTTTGGTGGAACAGCTGATTGCATATGTGTCAAACCTAATTCCTTTCATTATGCTTTAACTCACAGTGTTTTGTAGTGTTCAGGATGGCAAACTCTGCAAGAGTGAAGGGGAAGTACATTTTCCTGGAAGGCCTAAACAGTTCTATCAAAACCATCAGTAAGCAGAGAAAACAAAGTCTTCCCCCAGAGAATATTCCCCATAGAAGTGTGGGTTTTGGTTGCATTTTTGTGAATGGGAACTGATTTCTTATTCCAGATTATGTGTATGGAGTGTATTTGTGCCAGAAGGGAATTACATATGGCTTCATTTCTCCCACTTTGATGTAGAGCCAGAAATGTTCTGTGACTATGCTTCGTTATCAGTCTATTCAAAAGATGACAGACTTGTGGGTGAGTTTTTGTCCCCTCATTCTTTGAAGCAATCATTCAGGTTGGAAAATACCTTTAAGATCTATAACCTGTCATAGCACTCCTTATTCTAACAGCAAGGGCACCCAGTGTGGTGGTGGTTGATTGTTTCACTTGCTTGATTGATACATTGAGACATAGGATCTGAAATAAGAGAAAAAAGAGTGTGGGAGGTGAGGAGGTTGCAAAATGCCTGGTAGGGAACTGTATCACACTTCTGGTGTCAATGATTTTCAGTTTTTAATAGTGTGAATCTATTTGGGTTAATGGATTAATGAGGAAAGTAGAAAGATGTATAGGAAATTTCCCTTTAATCCTAAAATTTTATAGCTAAGTATTAAAAATGGTACATGCAAGTTTTCTCAAGTAACTGAAGGCTTTAACCAGCGATTATTCTCTAATGTTATGTTGCAGGGAAATTCTGAGGAGGAGATGCACCATTACCTCTTTTGATTGGCTCCAACAGTATAAGACTGAAATTTGTTTCTGATGATGAGGATTATGGAACTGGTTTTTCCATCACCTACAAAGCTCTTACACCAGATATTCTCCTGGTAAGTTTAAGCCAAGTAATGTGCCTGCCTACACTCTTGGGTGGGGACCTGGAAAAGAATGTCAGGAGAAGATCAACCAGAGGAAGCTCCCGTGGTACTTCTGTGTGGATGATGCTTCCATGGGGGGGCTTGAGGGAGGCAGCTGAGGCTAAAACACGTCCTGGAGAATTGTGTTTGGTTTTTCTGTGCACAGCAGTTCACCAGCCCTAAGGATGGGCCCAAGGGCCACCTGCTGATTCTTAAAAGAACTCCTGATGTTCCTCTTCTGATAGCATTTCCAGCTGGTGCTTTCCTTTCCATTTTTGCCTGCCTGGATTTCCAGCTGCTGGCAGTGAGTCCCTCTTTGAAGAAGGAGTGTTGGAGAGTATGCACTACCCAGAGCACTGCAGCAACCTGGCAGGCTGTCAGTGGAGTATCTGTGCTCCAGAGGACTATGTAGTCAAGGTATAACATGAACCCTTTCTGTGTCTGCATGATGGAAATGGGCACCACTGAGTTAACAAGAAATGATGCAGCTAAGGACAAACAAGATCAAGCAACATGAGCATGAATAATGCTGCTGGATGCAGTTAAGAGGAATCACTATCCATCCCAAAAGACAGATAGGTTTGGATTTGTCCTTTAGGTTATGGTAAAATAGGATTTCCTGGGTTAAATTTCATCATGACAGATTCTTCTAGAAAATTTAATATTTATGTATCACCTCTGAGAGGTCTGAATGTCACAGAAACCAAACTTTGCAGGAATCACTCACAATCCTAAAGACCCTCTAGATCTTTGAATTTTTCCATATGACTATCACAACAAGGTTCACTGTTTCGTTTTTTAATTTAAAGCTTACATAGCAGTCTGTTGAAGTAGAAGAGAGTGAAGACTGATTCTATGATGCCATGACTGTGTATGAAGATGTGGGAAAAGAGGGGGAAATTGGTTTGACTTTTGATTTTTAATTTTGGGGGTGTTCTATTTCTTTTATGATGTTCACTAGTCCTATTGTCCAGTGTAAATAAAGTTTGCTTGTAGAGTTTCAGGAAATGTTATAGGTACTAGTTTCAGTACCTTGGAAAATGCTTGCAGAAGAATTGAGAATTGCTAATTCTTCTCAACTTACAGAGGCAAAGCCACATTGAAGTGAACCATTTTTGAGTGTTTAAATTCTGTGTGAAATGCAGTTCCGAATTGGATCCAGTGAAGAAAATACATAGCACAGTAATTTGGGTCTATAGGAATGATCACACACAAAGCACCCTAAACATTTCCTTTTCAGAGTCCAGATGTTCTTCACTCCAGAGCATCATTCAATTTTTGCCACTTGGCTTATAGTGAGTGAGAGGAAATCCCATCCCAAAAAACTGTTTTCAGCACTTGCTTGAAGCTGGTGCTTAAATTAGGGAAAATCAGGTAGCTGGGGTGTTTCATTTGTAAGGAAGTTTGTGGGTGCTGCAATTGTGACTGTTGTGAAATGATGCCAGAGACTCCTTGTTCTGATGAGGAAACTGCTGAACAGGCTGCCAGGAATAGGTCAGTCCTTCAGCCTCAGCCTGCTTATCTCTTGCTCATGGTTACTTTTAACCTTCCTGTCTGAAAGCTGGAATATACAGAATATTGTGCACCCACTGTTGAAAGAAAGAAGGATTAAGAAGTACCTGTTAATTTTTTAGTGAGCCTTTGCTTTCTCATTTTTAGTCGAGTCTTGTGGATTTGCCCTACCAGCACCTGCTCCAAGCTCCTCTGCTCTGATGCTGGCTGTCTTCCACTCCGATGAAACAGAGACCTTTGGAGGACTCAGAGCTACACTCTCCTTTGTCCATGTTAACAGGGAACAGAAAACTAAATAGAAACTTGGGAAAATGCCTTCTTGGGGGAACACAAAGGGCTCTTCAGTGGAGTGGATGTTCAGAATTATTTTGCTCTAGGAAATTCTCATCTAACAAATTATTTCGGTGAAAAAAGGGATTGCAAACCTCTTCAGGCATTAAACAAAGGCCTAATGAATGGTGAAGACTAACAATTAATCTGGCCAAAACCTGGGAGTTGTGTTTGTGGCACATTTTAAATTGCACTTTAATATTGTAATAGCACAGATCCCTAAAACAGAAATCTGTTTTTTCTACAAAAATAAATAAGGAAATAAAAGTTATTCTATAATACAAATATTTCTCAGGACATCCTCCTAACACACTCACCACCCTCATTTGCTAGATTTAAATATTTTGAATTCAACTAAAGAAGAAGATTTTGAAAACATGAATGTTAGTGAAGAAGAAATAAAGGTTACAACAGGTAAGACAACCTCAATTATGCTTCCTTCAAGGGACTAGAGAGTACCTTATGGACTATAAATTCTTGAAATACCTAATGGTTGCAGTTGGTCCAGATTTTTTTAGTAAGATATTTTGAGGAAATAAAAATATGCACAGTGACATTTACCTGCTTTGGCTTTAGCAGAACCTAATTTTTCTTGTTTCCTTCATCTTGCTAAGTCATGTACAATAACATTTCAATAACATTTCAGTTTGTATGTCAGTTTACACCTACTTCCTTTGATGAAAACAATTGCAAAGACTACAGAGTAATTGAAAATAACAACCAGCATTTTAGAGCTGCCCTTTCCCCCTCTAGTAGTCTGTGGAAAATGGGATGAGTCCCATTGTAGGGACCCATTGTTCATTGTAGGTTGGAGGCTAAAACTTTAGAAGGTAAGTGGTAGCTTTTATCTTGGTGAAGCTCTGTTTTTTGCTAGGATCATCTTCTCATGGTGGTCTAAACATTTGGATCCTTTTTAATGAGGGAAATTGGAAGATTTAGCAAAAAGGGGGAGGTGGAGCTTGAAAAGCTTTGGGGTTGCCCTTAAATGGAGTGTTCTTTACTTCTCCCAGTCTTAACCTAACCTCTAAAGACTTCTTGGAACATCAGTGCTTTCTGTTTCAGAGGATGTTTGTGGAATGCCTTCAAATCAGCCCAGGTTCCTCTTCAGCAGCATAACTGGAGATGAAGAAGCTGTGCCTGCCAAACTGCAGATGAGCACATCTGTGGAGGAGCAGTCCTTGCCCAAGAATGGGTTGTCACAGCTGCCCACTGCCTTCATTCCAGATGAGAGCAGTGGAACGAGCCCTTCCCTGGGAACGTCCGTAACTGCACGGCGTGTCCCGGCTTCCATCCAGGGTGGCACAGGCTTGGTTACACCTGTTACAGCTTACACTGCCTCTGGATTCTTCCAGAGGTGTGCTAGGAACACAGCAGGTTTTAAGATTCATGCGTTTCAGGACTGCTGTTATATCAGTCTGAGAATGAACTATTTTTTTTTCCTTAGGGAAGCATACGGAGAGTTATGGATGGCGGTACAAGGACTTTATGATCTTACAGAGTAGGAGTACAGACAGGTACTGTGTGCTCTGCTTAGTAATGAAATACAAATCAATCTTTCAAAAGTTTTTAATGTGAATGTGATTCCCAAATTCTCCATGATGAAGTAATCCAACAGCCCTGAACATGTGGTATTCACATTTTCTGAAAAATCCCTTCACCCAGGATTTTTCTCCTGGGAAGCTGAGAAACCTCAGAGAAAAGGAAAACAATTTTGTCTCATTTGCTTCTCCTGTTTCTTGCACCGTTGGAATGTGTTTGGAGATTGTTTACCCACAGGTGATTGTTTCATTGGTTTCATGTGAGTTGTTTTGACTTATTGGCCAATTATGGCCAAGCTGTGTTGGGACTCTGGAGAGAGTCACGAGTTTCATTATTATCTTTTTAGCCTTCTGTAAGTATCCTTTCTGCATTCTTTAGTATAGTATAGTTTAGTATTCTTTAATATATTATAGTATCATAAAATAACAAATTAGCCTTCTGAGAACATGGAGTCAGATTCATCATTCCTCCCTACCACGAGGGTTCCTGCAAATACAATGTGAACGCTGATCCCAATCTGCATTTACACAACAGCTTTTGTGTGACTGTCAGCACAGACCTGTGCCTTCACTGAGCTCCAAAGCTCAGTACCCCAGAGGATGTGGGAGTGAGAGGTGTATTGTCTCTGTGCTCACTGGTGACTGTCACCAAGACAGAAAGACTAGGGCACAAGTTGCCACTTTGCTCACACTGGATAAATGTTTTTCCAAGACACTCTTCCTACCCTTGCTGGAGTTTTCTGCACATTCCCTGTTCCATGTCAAAGATGCATAATCTTGACTTGTTAATATCAGAAAGCTGGCAGTTTCTGGAGCTGCTTTTAAATGTGTTCCCTTCTTAAGGCATCTTGGAAATGTATAAAACCAAAGTTACTTAAAGCCTCACATTCCCAAGTCTTTCAGAAAACGTCGATGTCTTTGCTTTCCTAGAAAAGATCAATCAAGCAGTATTTCATACACCCAAATTTTAACGAGACCACTCTGGACTCTGACACTGCCCTGCTGCAACTGGCTGAGCCCTTGGAATTCACCCCCTCCGTGCTCCCAGTGTGCCTCCTGCCGGGGAGGAGGTGCTGTAGCTCTCGAGGATGTGTGTGGTCACAGGGTGGGGTGCACCTGAAGCAGGTATGCAGTCTTTGCTGCGTGGGCATGTTGTGCCTGTGTTTTAAATACCACATTCTGTGCTGGAACAGTCCTTCTGTCTGTGCGTAAGTTTTTGGAGAACAGACATGTTAGAAAGTTTTCACTTGTGTAAGCTCAGCTAGACGTGAAGGGACATGGGTGGGAGGAGAGAAATCAGGTAATTTAGATTGAGGCCATTTGAAAAGGAGAAGGGAAAATCTTCTTCTGAAACCACTAATTCATGCCTCTACTGGATTATGTGTTTTAATTCAAGACAGAGAAAAGGGGAAAAAGCTGCAGCAGCTGGAAGTCCCCATCCTGGCACCTGACATATGTCAGAGCTATTACATTAACTTCCCAGTAAAGTGACTCTGGGGATGATTTCCAGGATTCCCTCTGGAGGAAGGCAAGGACTCATGCACAGTAAGTTACCCTTGGGCCAGAAAGGGAAGTGTAAAACCTCCCAAAGCTGTTTTCTTGCAAACAGCTGTGGTGATTCGCAGTGAAAGACTCCTTAGCAGTCAAATTTGAATTATCCATATTGCAAAAAGAGTTACTTCCCTCGAACAAAGGTTGTGTCTTTGTCTTTTAAAAATGGAAAGCTCCAAGCACGTGAGCAGCTGGGACCTCTCCTTGTTGAAATGAGATTTTAAAAACAAGAGTGATGTTGGCTCAGGACAAGGCTCCTTTGTCCTTGCGCAGGGTGATTCTGGAGGCCCATTAGTATGTTCCTCAGAAAACAACTTGGGGTTTTACGCTCTCCATGGAATTACTAGCTGGGGCTTGAGATGTGGAAGGAAGAATACACTACCCAGGAGAATACACTAATGTTAGGTTTTGTTTTGATTGGATCAAGAATAATATTAATAGTAGTGGTATGTATGAAAAAAACCCAACAAAACAACCATTAAATTAATCCTTTTGCTACTGTTAGATGATTAATTTGAGGTCCTTTCCAGAGTGCCATTTTTATATTTGGGTGTCCGGTACTCCTTGAGATCTTGTCTGGTTAAAACATCCCTAGCTGAAAGCCTGAAAAAGAAACAAACTTAAATCAGCAGTAACTTCTGAAAACCATATTTCTTCCAGTTGTATTATTATTATTCCACTTTCTACTGCATTTCATGTATGGATGAATGTTTTCCTTGCTGTGGCTTTGCAGCTTCATTTCTCAGGGCTGGGAGGAAGCAGAGGAGCAGGAACTGACACGTGGTGGCAGCTGAGTTCACTTTGACAAGTTTACAGCCTGTCTTCATTGGTGATCTTTGCAGAGTTTACCCTGATTTATTCTTCTTTTTTTTTCAGAGCTCCCCATTTTCATTGTGTGACTGTCTAAAGAACAGTTCTGATGGATCCCATTGTAAAACATTCCCAAAGCACAAATGCCATTGAAAACAAAATCTGGTGGGAACATACAGGTTTCTTTGACTGATGAACAGATTCCAGAGTAGCTGATACTTACCCTGGGGAATTTACTGCTGATTTATCTGAACAGAGACTTAGGCTTTTCACGTGAGTTGGAGCAGTCACAAGTTACCTGCAGCCTTCTGACACTCTGTTAATCCGTTTTAGAAGGGAAAAGAGGGAAAATAAGCCACATGAGCCAAGCATGTCCTTGAATGTAGTGCTGGAGAGTGTAAAAATACTGCAGGGTATTTTTTAATACAGCTTCTGGTTTTACAAATTGTTTGGTGTTTAAACAAAAGTGTTTGAAAAGACAGGTGTTACAGGCCAAGGGACCATGCAAGAACTGATAGCTATCCTAATCAATCAATGCATTAACTTGTTAATAGCAGTTTGTTTAATGTCCAAAAGGCTGCTTATACAGAAATCTGTGGTGGCGGGCTCCAGTTAGCTTTGCAGACCCTGCTGCTCTCAGCTGTAGTGTTCAAAACTAGATTAGTAGGATAGTACAACAGAGAGCACAAGCATAATCCTCCTTTGACTCAATGGTCCAGACAATAACTAGAAGGTAAGACATCTCACTTAGTCTTTGTTGATATTAATGGCAAAAATATTTAGAAAGCTTTTCCCAGACAAGCATTTGATGCCAGTAACCCTCCTTTCTTATTATATTAGTTTAAAACTTTGGTTCTTTAGTTTTTTTTAAACTTTCATTTTTATTCTGTAGCTGGGCAAACAATAATCTCACTGACTGTATTCTCCAATGAATAAGGTAAACATATTTCACCACTTTCTTCACTGTAAAGTTTAAGGCAAAAGCCCACAAAATATTGAGCATGAGTTTTTTGTGAAGCTATGAAAATACTTAACAGTGGAAGGATTATGGGCAAATTGAGATTCAGTGATTCAGATTCAGAGCTGTGTTGCATTATTGATAGAGTATGTGTGTTCTATCTTTGCCAAGCTCTCTGAAGAGTTCTTCAGAGAGAAATGGAGGGAAAATATCCTTTGTAAATTTTTATCATAGAAGCCTATTAATGTTTGGTTCTGGTGGAAGTTGCCATTAGCTGACTGTATCAGTTTATGCTGGGAGCAGATGTGTAATATCTCTTGGCTGCTATTCTGTTTTGCTTAACAGGAACACAGTAACTTTTATCTTTTATTAATTTAGTTATTAATTATTATTATTAATTTAAGGATTTCAAGAGGACGTGTTCAGAAAAGGAAAAAGTGTGTAGAGAGAACTACAGATGCTATCAGCTGTGATGATATTGAATGCAGTGATAAATTTGTATCTTTTATGAAAATTCCTGTCTTAAATTCTATCTTAAAAGGTCTGCTTTTGATTTGATTGTTATGGCACTAACTTTTTGCTTGGCTTGCTCTGTTGTTAGCTTTTTGTGTTTCACCTAGTATGATTTTACAGGAAGCCTAGTTTTGCTTTTGTTTGTGGCAACTTTTTAGTCTCTTGTAATATGCCAGTAACTTTTAGCAACAATGCGAACTGTTTTCTGATGCAAATAAAATCTTGATTAAAAAAACCAAACCAAACACAACTAAAAAATAATTTAAAAAAATTTACTTTCAACGGGGTTCATGTAATGTGATTCTATTTTAGTTTTTAGGTGTGGCTCTGTGACCGTAGGTTGTTCTGGTTAGCTCTGGAATGGTAAAGGACACGACAACCCCATTCCCATTGGATCTTCCCTGTTTTCTTTTACCCGGCTTTGTTTCCCTTGCACTTTTCCAGAAGCAGCACGAGGGCAGGTTTATTTCTCATTTAAGAATCCATTTAATGCCATGCCTTGGGTGCACAGACATACTGCTATTTCTTCATCTGAACTGACCAGTTCGACTTTGTTTGCCTCCTTTTCTATTTCTTCGCAGAAAGAATTGTTTAGCGTTGGAAGGGGCTGCCCGCGGGGTCACTGTCGCTGGAGGTGTTTAAGGAAAGGCTGGACACGGCACTAGTGCCACGGGCTGTTTGACACGGTGGTGTCCGGTCACAGTTTGACCTCAGTGATCTCAGAGGTTTTTCCCAACCCAATCCATCCTGGGAAACCAGGAATCCGGCTCCTGGGGCAGCCTGACCCGCCCGCCCTGAGGGCGTAGCGGAGCTCCCTGTCCTGCCCGGGCCCAGCGCCGCCCTGCCCCAGGCGGCACCGGGAGGAGCAACGGGGAGGCGGAACCCGAGGAAGGATCAGGAGGCGGAACCGGGAGGAGGAACTCGAGGAAGGATCAGGCGGGATCTGCGCGGCCGGGGCTGAGCGGGCCCGGTGCGGCGGGAGCTGCGGCGAGGCCGCCATGGAGACGTTTGCGGTGAGGGCCGCGCTGAGGCTGCGGCTGGGGCTGGGGCTGAGGCGGGCCGTGCCCTCACCGCCGCCATGCCCTCACCGCCGCTGTACTCTCACCGCCTGCCCTTCTTCTCCTCCCAGGGAGCGCCTGTGGCCATCGCCGTGGCCGTGGTGGCGGCGTCCGCGCTGCTGCTGCTGCTGCTCCGAGGGACGGCGCGGAGGCCGAGCAGCCCCGTCACCCTGCAGGACCCGCAGGCCAAGTACCCGCTGCGGCTGCTGGACAAGGAGGTGCCCGGGGCTCTGGGGACATGGGGCATCGGGGCTCCGAGGGCAGTAGGTGCGCTGGCCTGGCAGGCTCTTGGCCCTGAGCTACCCCAGGGATCGAATCCCCAGAGCAGGGCACGGAGCCCTCCAGAATGGCCGTGCCCCCGCAGCCACGCTGTGGTGCTCCCGGGGTAGAGCGGGGTGTGTAAAAGCGTTTGTGGCACAGTGCGAGCTGTTTGTTGTTTCCCGATGCTTTGCATGTTGAAGTGCCGGCTGAGTTCCTCCCTCGATTCCTGTCCTGGGTGCACCTTGAGAAGCAAGCCCGGCAGCCGAGCTTCTGCACGGCTGTGTTGCCTGATCTTGGGCCGCAAGCATGCAATGTGCTCGCTGGCCTTGGGCACAGGGTTTCCTGGTTTTATCTGTGCAAAGATGCTGTAGGGATTGTGCAGGCAGGCAAAAGTCACTCCTTGTGGACGTAAGGAGCAGAAGACTGCTTCTGAAATTCCTGGTTATTTCAACTTTGTTTTTCAAAGCAGTTTCTGTGTCCTTTTCCAGCATTTGGCTTGCATGCTAACAAAGAGCAGGCTTGCTGAAGCATATTGTGTTGAGTAGAGTTCGAAATTCAACTGTAGTGGTGATGCTGACCTCATTCTAACTTTGGTTTTTTAGGAAATCAGTCACGATACTAAGAAATTCAGGTTTGGGCTACCCTCAACGAATCATATTTTAGGATTACCTGTGGGTAAGTTCTGTAAACAATTGCATGTATTTCTGGTTTCTCACAGTTCTTGGACCCGTGACTGAATTTAAGGCTCAGCAAAGCAAGGGGTTGAAAGCTGCATCTGAATGCTCCTGTCTCAGAGAGAAATGTTTATATACCAGGTTTCCCAGAAGGTGGTATTTCTGATCTTTTGTGAGTGCTTTGTCTAGTTGTATGGTGTAGGTTAGAAATGGAGCAGTGAGACTGAACTGAGCCTGATGGAATTTGTCACCAGTCAGGTTATAGGCAAGAATGGTGTCTGTCAAAGCTTTTTTATGTTTCTTATTTGCATTCTACTTCCATCTGGTCCCCTCAGTCTATTGGCAATTGCCCTCACGGTTTTGGCAAATACAGTCACACTTGTAAAGGAGAAAGGGGACAACTCTGCTGCCTGGGAAGATGCTGAAATATTCAGAGCCTTTCCTGTGCATGCCTTTGAATTACACACATTTCCATGCAACTTTGTCTGGAGCTGCACGAATTTCAGCCTAGGATTGCCCTTCTTTCCTGTGCCCCGGAACACTGATAGCACTGAACCTTGGACCTTGAATCAGTGAAAATCAGTGTGCAGGGGAAAGTCTCTCTCTGATCTGCAGATGTGGCTCTGTTTGTTCTGCACTGTTTGGCAGCTCCCTGTGCTGTATGGCAGGTGTCAGGGTCATCCCATTCCATCTGTGAGCATGTCCTTGCATGCTGCCTGTTTTTCTCCAACCTTTCTTCTGGCCTGTATGGGACAGAGTAATGGAATTAACTAGACAAACAGTAAACCAACTGAGATGTGCCCTGCAGTGCATGTGTTTATCCAGGTTCATTCTTAAGAATTTAGGAATAAGATTCTGAAACTATATTGCTTCCTGGAAGATTCCTGCTCTGTGCTGAAAAAGGAGAAGAAATGGAATGTTTCATGCAGCATTTATATGGCAAGGATTTTCTCTGCCATTGCACGTGTAGCAGGTTACAATGCCTGCCTTTCTCTCTTGTCCTCCAGGGATGAAAATGATAATCAGATTGTAACTCTCTCTCCCCAGGCCAACATGTTTACCTTTCTGCAAAAATTGATGGGAATCTGGTGGTTCGAGCCTATACCCCAGTTTCCAGTGATGAGACAAGAGGTTATGTTGATTTAATTATAAAGGTAAATTTTGGTTTCCTTTAATAGAGATAAGTTGCTAACTGGAAGGAGGGCAGGCACTTCATTTTAGTGAAATAGTTTGTTTTGATTTAGTCATCAAATTTCATTGTCTTTCATTCAAATTTCATTAAATTTCATTTTCATCTAATCTCATATTTTTCAAATAGGGTGACTGCATGGCAAACAACTCATTGCCCTTGGATAGTAAGTTGTATCCTGTGTGTCTGCTGTGTGGCACTGAGGGATGGCAGAGGAAGAGTAGAGGGAGGAGAGAGTCATCTCCCTGGCAATACTTTAGGAATTTCCCTAATATCTTTTACTTAACAGTGCATGGATACTGATCTCTCTCCCTCTAGATGCCTCAGCTGTTGCTAATGCTTAATGCAAACAGCTCTAAGCAGAAAACAAGTCACACAAGGGAAATCCTTTAAGCTAGGAGATGCAGGATTATCTGATCCCAGGACTTCTGGATTT